CTTAGTAAGTAGGGTTATAAGTGCCTGAATTGGGGTTATAAGTACTTATAAGTTTGGTTACCTTAATTATAACCCTAGTTACCAAGTCCCATGATCCTTTTAGTACCATTATGAAATCAGGTCCCAAAAGACCATCCTTATTATTGTTTTAAACAGCCTAATTCCATATTAGTATTATATATGGAGCCTCCAGGTAAGAACTGCTCAAGACCGTGACCTTATTGATCGCGGTACACAGAGGATGATTTGAAAAGCCTTGACTCCTAAACTCCACAGGAATTTCTAGTGGGAAAGCGCCCAGGGACTTGGCGTTTGATAAAACCCTAAACCCTAAACAGGGTTTCGGGTTTAGGGGACTTATACTCCAAATCCGAAGCCTGGATCAAGGATGCTTGTGGGACAGCCCTGAGGCCTAAACCCGAAACCCACCGCATTGCTTTAAATTTAGGTGAGCTGACAAGAAAATTTGCAACAGTAATGTTAGAACAGGGTTCCTTTAAGGGGATCCTTAAGCTAGAGTTCCTTTATAAGTTCTAGAAGGGATCTACTATAAGAGGTAATGTAGGGACAGTATAGGGTTCCCTGTGACGCCCAAACCACTCAATCATAGAGGACCTCATGAGTCCGGTTCAGTGATCTCTCCTCTACTGCAACTCATTATTTAACAGCCCTTGATCAGCGGAATGAGAGCCTCTAGAATCTCGTCTCGGATTTAGGGTTAAGTTTCGAGCTTTTGGGGTGTGTAGGGTTAGGTTGACCCTAGACCCTGAACCCTAAATTTAAATTGTTTAGCTGTTGGAGCCCAGGCTCTTTGATTTGGTCTTGATCCTCATTGACTGGATTGTCGACATTCTGGATCTGCTGACTGCAGACAGCACCCTAGCCATATAAGAGCCCACGACTTTCTGGCATCAGCTAGTTGATCATAATGCGTGTGTTTGCGGAGTAGGACATACTCCGCATACCCCTTCAGGTTCTTTGCACCAAAGCCTCGTAAGCTGTTCAGAGTCGAACTCTAGACCCATAGGCGTAAGGCCTAAGGGTCCACAAAATACGGTTGACGATATAAATCCTGCATTACCTAAACCCTAAACCCTAAACCCTAAACCCTAATAAGGAATATCCCATAATTCCCATAGTTTAGGGGCCTTAAGGCAATGCCCGAAACCCAAACTTCGAAACCTTAACCATAACTCCCATAGTTTTAGGTCCTTAATATGGGTTTAGGGTTTAGGGTTTAGGGTTTAGGGTTTAGGGTTTAGGGTTTAGGGTTTAGGGTTTAGGGTATGCAGCATTTATATCATCAACAGTACCAGCCTAGTTCGCTACTGACCGTAAACCGTCTTTTTGATACCAAGATCAGGTCCTGTGGATCCTTGGGGAAAGACCCCTAACCCTAAAGGGTCCAAAGGATCCAATACTAAGGGGTGCTATAAGGACTCCATCAGGGATCCATAGGGTTCTAAAGAGGCTTTTAAGGATCCAAAGGACAGTTATCTAAGCTATAGTTTTGGGGAGCTTTTGATTATTAGGTACTTAAGGGCCCTTAGGGTAAGTGCTTGAGAGGCCCTGCGTCCGTGAGTCGTTCTGTACGTATGCTGCGGCTTCTGCGTCTGGTGCGTGTAATGCGAGCGATCAAGCTTCGACGCGGGTTCACGGCAATGCAGGACACAGCAAGGGTGAACTTAGGGTCTTAACTTGGATACGGTGTAAACCCTAAACCCTAAACCCTAAACCCTGTACCCCAAAGACCTCTTCGAATTGTACTTAACCCTAAGGCTCAAAGGACTGGCATATTAAGGCTTTGGGCCCAAAGACCCCTACCACGGTTGATGATATAAATCCTGCATTACCTTAACGACCCTAAACTATGGGGATTATGGTATATTCCTTGTTAAGGGTACCCTAAACCCTAAACCCTAAACTTATTATGATTGTATATTCCTTATTATGGTTACCGTATGTTCCTTATTAAGGGTACTGCAGGATTTATATCAACCACCGTGTCACCCTGAAGGCCCCTAAACCCCAAACCCTGTAAACCCCTAAACCCCTAAACCTGAGTCCCTAAACCCTAAACCTTCAAACCCTAAACCCTAAGCCCTAAAAACCCTAAACCCTAAACCCTAAGCCCTAAACCCTAAGCCCTAAACCCTAAGAAACCCTAAGAAACCCCAAGAAACCCTAAGAAACCCCAAGAAACCCTA